ACTTAATACCCTTTTTTGTGGAGCCGGTCACATATATCGGGATATTTACACTTTTCTCCAAAGTTCTAAGGACACACACACCCATACAAAGTTTGGAGTGAGACTACTCTTTTGTGATTTACAGAATGCATAAACAATGTACACCCTTTAGTTTTATGGAAATTGTTCTGTGGTCACGTGTGTGACATTTTGATCGGTCACGTGTGTGACATTATGTGATAAAATTTATGCTAATTTATGCACAGAAGGACCAACTTATGAAACAACTTAAGACATTCGCATCTTTACTTACTAGCAACACTTGAGTGAAGAATAATCATTTGTATTACATCACATAAAAAAAGTTTTTTTTTCCCCCAAAATTTATTAAGTTCCAATTTTTGAAGAGTCACGCAGTAGGGGGTACGGAACCCTGGTGCCTAGGGCCTATGGATCACTCAATCCAGCCCTGCAACTGATGGCAGCTTTGTGCTTTGTGTTGCTTTAGATTAGCTTTTGTCCAAAATACATGTATATTTTCAATACCAAACACAATCTTTGTAAGATTTTCTTTTCTGTCTACAATGCCTCGAGGGGTCCATAAGTTACACGCAGTTGCTCTTTGTACACAAAAATGTTAACACATTGGTAACGTCCGTTCTTTAGAAACCCCCGTTTCCGAACCTATTCAGTTTTCATATCATTTGACATTTGCAAACACTGTTTCTTTGTCCCCCGTGCTCAGTCAAAAAGTTTTGATTAATTACTTTTTGCAGATAAAATCCTCTTGTACCGGTAGACACGCATATCAATAAAGTCGTCTCAGTTGTTTTGGACGGACACCTGTACATCTGTATTATAATTATCGACAGTAGACAGGTGTATGAACAAGTTACGGTAGCTGGTAGGTACATGGATTGACGACACCCCCCAAAAAGAAAAAAAATAATAAATAAATGCATAAATGCATAAATAAAGAAAATAGAATCCTGCTAATAGTGAACAGTTACTATTGTAATATTTATAACTTATCGAAAAAAAGTAGAAAAAAAGTCCAAGCATGTCTCGTTATTTGGTTCATGTTTTTTTTGTACACCCTTTTGGCAAATGTGGCTCGCTTGCCGTACATCGGATGTATACATGCCCTCCAGCTCAGGTAGACAAATCATCATGGAACCTTACACTTTGCAACAGATAACAATAATGAAGTGTCTTTTAATTCATGCATTGTGCGTCTCCATGCAGCTGCAGTCAGCCCTAGAACCAACTCCACCCCTCCCATACGCCCCTGCCAGCCCCCGTCCAGCCCCCCGGCCTGCCCCCTTCCTAACCCACTTATCCCCTCACCCGTGAACAGGGATTAAAGGGAATGTACATCATTGGCTTTTGCTGTAATTTTCAGAAACGAACTATTTTGGGGGTTAGTATAACAGATCATATATTGTTACACTGACATGTTTGAAGTTTTACGTTCGTAAATGCTGGAAAAACCAAGAAAAAAAAAATTGTTCAAGTAGTCTGGTTCCCTGACTCCACTAAAGATGAAATGAATCAAAAATGCCGGAAACGGTAAGGGAACCAGTCTAGCTGGCCTGCACCCGTTCATGAACATGGAACCAATAGCAAACAACATTTGGACTGAAAAAAAAAAACCAATGGTAAATATGGAGCAGTAGTTGAAAAATAGTTAAGTTTTTCCAACGGTGGTCAGCCGACCACCGTTGGAAATGTATACAAAAGTACCATTTTTCTTGAAAATGACTTCACACCAGGTGCCATAATTTTACAGGATGCTTTAGACTGTCATTTACCAACATCCTATTAAGGTAGTTCGTAACAACATGGTAGTTTTATTTTTCGATGTTTGCAAATGTTGTATTTTCCCTTTAAGGGTTCGAGAAACATGACAGTCGAATTGAAATGTTCTCAAAAGATTTTGGCAGAATAAAATTGAGTTTTGATTTTGGCAGAGTAGCATCGTACTGTAGCTAAAGAGAGCAACATGGGCCACTATTAGTTTGCTGCATTTTATTTTGTTGAGCGTGTGTTAATAATGCAGCTGTCCTGTTAGTCTACCCATTTGTCATGTCAGTCGTCGGACAACGTTGACGTTTACTGCCCAAATATGAATGAGCTTGTCACATTGTAGGGCGGTGAGCTGACAATCGGCTGTCTGACTCCTGTCCCAGATTGTCTGGGGAGAACACTTGGCCTGTTTTGGACAACTTCTGTCTGCTTTCAGACTTTTCTTGTTCATTTAGTATTAAAAAAAATGAACAAAAGATGTTCAACTACGGTAGGAAAATACGGCTTTCTTTAAGTAAAAAAAACAGGAAACTTTTAAAATGTCAGCACAAGTTTTTGCAACTCCTGTGCGCGATGTGCCCTTGCCCCTTGTTTCTCATTTATTTCCCCGTATCTGCACAGCCAGCTGCCCCTGATGGTATGAAATTCTCGTTAGCCAAGATAAGACTGAATCTGATAAGAACCCACTCATGAGACATGGGATCATTTGGTCTGGGGCTATCTGGAGAATTTTTTGGGACCCCTGAACTAGGGCGTTTGCGTTTGTAAAATGTACATGGGGTTCAGAGAGAGTTTAAAGTTTGTGAGTGCGGGATTTTGTTTTGCACAAAGTGAAACATGAGTTGGGAGCTTATGAGAATAGACCTTACATGCATTGCGGGACGGGTGTCTCAGAGGATATTTAACAATTGTTGACTGCTGTGATGTGGGATACAACGTTTTGAACACCCGAAGGGCGCATAGCACCCGAGGCCGAAAGCCGAGGGCGCTATGCCCCCCAAGGGGGTTCAAAACATCATATCCCACATCGCAGCAGTCAACAATTGTTCTGTTATATCTCTGACTTGGATTCTTTGGATTTTGATGTAAAAATAACGAAAACAAACAGCGGAAAAACACAACAATCATGAAGATCAACACAATCAACCTGTGTCAATGTCTCCTAAAGCTGTGTCCGCATTGGACTTTTTTGGGTAAAACTCGCAATTTTTTACAGTCTAAGTAAAATTAATTCAATTCAAACATGGCTTAAGGCTCTCTCTTCATTTTAACATTTCTATTTCTGTACATGGTTGTACGAAAAAAATAACACTTACCCTAATTTTGAATGCACTCAACCCCTGAAAGACAACAATGACTTGTCTTAAGTGGATTTTAAACATGACATGCACGATCCCACAACCCTCTAAAAGCTCTGGCCCCTTCTAAAGTTTGAAGAAAAAAAGAGGAACAGACCTAAAACTAACAAACGGCTTCACATCTGAAAGCCCCAATTGTCGAGAGTCAGGCGCAGTTTTTGTTCTTCTCCATTGCCTTTTTGTCTGACAAGCCAATGATAGTTGTTCTACTTTGTCCATTAATTTCCTCTTATAATAATAGCCTTATCGACCCAGAGTTCTTTGTGGAGTTTTCGAGATTACCACTATCAGCGAACACTTTGGCCTAGGTTTTTTTTTTTTTGTATAGCGTTGCGATTACACGAATGGACAGACGTCATTGTATCATGCGCATATATTGGCATATTGTCTGCTGTACGAAGTCCCACGGATATTAAGAAAGATAAAGAATATGGGGCACCTGTTGTCTTTTTTTTAATCTTTGATTGATTAATGAATATTTGGGTGATTCATTGTTTAAGAATTAACCAGAATTACTAATTGGCTCGATCAAGTTGTTCCCTGAACATGTGTAAACAGGTGGATTATGTCGAAAGACAATACATGAACAATTATAGTAAAGACATCCGAATATTTACCTCAAATTAATTTGTTTCGAACTGCTACATTTATTACTAATTATTAGGGGGGGGGGGTGTTGTCTGCTCATTGTTCCCTTATTAGTAATTAGCAGCCACTTTCCCAAATGGTTTTGACAAAGAAGAATGCACCTTTCAATTCTCCAGATCATTTTCTACACTTCCCTGAGGGCAAACATTTACTGGTAATTACTGCACATACAAAGGACATGCTGTTAACAGTTATTTAAGGTGCTGAAGAACTCTTGACTAGGATTAAGGAGGAGTTGAGAGGCTTAACGGTGCTAATCCCTTTTAATCCTTAATCCTCATGAGATAATGGGAATAAGCAGGCTCCCAGGATATGATTACTGGACTAAGCAGGATATAATGGCTTAGCAAGTTATGGCCACAATAATTTAACCATCAACAAATATTTGTTTTCATATTTTCCCATCAAACATTTTTTTCTAAACCCATTAGGTCTGCCCCAAACCACCTTGTCTGTTTTACACCTTTTATGGGTGCAGACCAGTAAATCGGTCCGAAATTGCCTGCGCCGGCCAAATCACGATTTGCATGCCCTCAAAATCTTCGGTATTTGAGCATGCTGTGGGCCATGAACTGGAGGGTTTGTAAAAAAATATGGGTGGAAGCCGTGCACAGGACTGGGAGCTTGCAGTTCTGTGTAATTTTGATGTAATTTTGATGTAATTTGGACCCTAAAAGCGCTCTATTTTGCAATGGAGTGTAGGCATCGTTTTTCAAAATGGCGATGGGCTTCAGGACTATTTTCAGGGGTCTCATCTTCAGATGGAAATTTCTCCTAAAAGTCATCAGTTGACCCCCCGAAAATTGAAAAGAAAATGAAAGATGATGAAATAAGCTTTAATTTGATGTGTGTCTCGAACACCTTGGAGAGTTGTGAGTATTTTTCCAGAATTTTTGAAGTGGGAGCATTTACCATTGGGGGGTCTATGGAAGTTTATTTACTAGTCTGCTACCTTATATTGCCCCAAACTGCCTGCAGCACTGTATGGTTTATGGCTTCACAAGGGAATAAAAACAATGTAATACCATGTAGTACAATGTAATACAATGTAATACAATGTTATACAATGTAGTACAATGTAATATGTAGTACAATGTAATACAATGTAAACAGTGTAGTACAATGTAATATGTTGTACAGTGTAATACAATGTTATACAATGTAGAACAAGTATTAATGGATTAAATATTGGTTTTCTTTCTTCCTCAGATTGTAACTTCAGTATCTTCAGAGTCAGAGTTTCTGACACTCTCATCAACTGGATCCATTTTTTTCCCCAAAAATACTTCATGTCTTGGATTGAGAGAAGATTCCTTGGATTTGAAAGGACAAGTACCAGTAATTCTCTTCATAGCGCAGTGTGTTGGGAATAGGAAGCACTGATAACGGATATTTATTTCTTGAGTTGCAACTCCACAAATTTGCTTCTTTAGATGCAACGTCTGGAAGTCTTGTCGTACATTCATTTGTGATTTGGCCAGAAATGTGAGTTCCTGAATTTTGAGCTACATTTCGGTCGAAAAAGTAGAATTTTGGTGCTGGACTTAAACGATTTTAGGACCAGACTACTTGCAAGAGTTCTTATTGCTTCGGACTGGTCTACTGTGGTTACCAGACTGCTTCGGACCTCAGCTGTCAAAGCACCTAGATTTCAACAAACCTTGGACTGGTCTGGTACCTTGACTTCTGAGCATCTTAGACCAGTCTAGTACCTGGACTCCTCTCTACAGGATATAATGCGGTTATAGTGATTCCAGCGGTTGTGATGACCCAGTACATGCTGCAGCGCTTCCTGGCCCAGGAGACGGAAGCCATCCACAATAACGCGTACGACGCGGCGCTGTCCTTCTCACAGGCCACAGACTTGCAGATTACCAATGGCGAACTGGTACCCGTCCAGGGTCAGCCGGGCGAGGATGTTAGTGGAAGGGGTGGTGCCCCGCCCATGCTCAACGGCCACGACCACCGCAGGATGTCGGCGTCGCTCAAGAGGTCACATGACTTGATGGCCGGTGGGGGGAATGGAGGAGGGGCGTCGGCTGTGAAAGGTTCGGTGGTGGGGCCCGGATTGGGATATGCCACTGTGATGTTGACAGAGGAGAGCAGAGAGCCCAAAGTCAAAACGCAAAACACACGTAAGTTCTTGAAATTTGTGTGTATTTATTTGTTGTTGTACAACGTTCAAGCATTTTGCCTTTCTGTATTCAGTGTGTACAATGTACAATGTACATTTTTGTGCAGTTCTTTAATCTGATTCAGTGACTGCATGCAAGTTTGGCAATGGATCAAAGCTAATTATGTATCAAATTTTAGTGGGTTTTTTATTCATTTTCTAAAGTATATTTCATTATTTCAACAAATCGGTTTTTGTACATAAAATCGACAAAATTATTCTTTACAAACAATGCCTTTTATGCACTGTATACATTTCAAGCAGCATTTCATAAAAAATTTAAGATTGAATTTTGCATAAATTAAGCTAAAATTAAACGGAAAATATGTACACGACTTGTACGCATTACAATTTACATGTGCAAAGAAACCGTTTGATTAATGTAATCATCAGTTCTAGAAATTTATGTACTAGTCAAACAAGAATGAAACAATGTAAACATTACACCATGTCAAAATGTACATCCATATTTTTGTGTGGGATCAGACATTTTCATTCATTCATAAAAGACTCCAGATCTTTGCAAAATGGGGACTTACACAAGTCTAACTCAATCCCTCTCAATTTGCCCAAAATATAAAAACTGAACAGCAATAAACCCAGCCATAAGACCCGCCTCCTTTTTGTTCCTCTCAACCAATCAGCTTAGCCCAATCAGGGACATGCTTCCTACTCATGGTGCAGGGCCCCCACTGTGAGCCACTCACTTCAGTGCACACAAGCCGTGGCCCTTGAACAGGCACAGGCAGGCCAGGAGCGTGGGAGAATTTGTTGTTCCAGCCAGCTGTTGGGGGATTTTTTTTCTCTCTTCTGATCTAATGAATAAACAATATTGGAGATAGCTAGGCTGATTCGGGGCTGGACTTGCATTAAAAAGGGGGAAAGCCTCTTTGTGTCAATGTGAATTAATTCAGGTCCATGTTCCCTTATTCAGTCTACTTCCTACTCCCCCACCCCCCCCTCTTTTTTTTCTATTTTGATCTTAAGTCCACCACATTGTCCATTGACTGTGAATGCACATGTTGTCATTGTGTTGTTGGATGCATTGTGCTGGGGCTTGTACACCGCTAATCTGTCTGATATACAAGTAGTTTATCACTCTGTGCTTACTGAGGAACACTGGACGTTTTCACGGTATCGCAAAGGACAGAACGTGAACCAGTTCGTACAGGAATGAATAAATGAGAAGGAACACGGCACATGTGTTTTAGCAACTAGCTAGACGTGGAACTGCAGGTGCATACTATCCTGAATTGCAGCATTGATACGTGGATTGCATGTTGATGCACCGTATCCTGTCAACGTGTCCTGTCAACGTGTCCTGTCAACGTTTCGGAGTTTGTACCCGTACATGTAACTTCCCACCCTGCTAGAAGTGCTACAACTACTGGTTAACATTTTTGAGCAGACCACATGTCAGGCCGACGGAATGTTTTTATTATTACGTATCGGTCTCTGATCTGACGAGTGTGTGAACGCAAAAGTCTGGCGCCATGACTTACCAGAATGTGTTCAACTTTGAGGACTATGACTATGGATTTAGCAGTCACCAAGGTATGGACTTTATTCCTGAGGAAGCCATTTTGGTCATGTTCCCTGAATGTACAATGTATTTTATAAATTGTGAACTGTTGAATGGGATGGTACCAGACTGTATACATTCTAGCTTTACTTCATATTTTTAAATGTGGCTTAAAACAGTAGGATATGTTAAATCACAATTTTTTTAATTATTCATCAGAGCAGACTGGTGTTAATTTGTAATTACTTTATGTCATTGCTTTCATTTCACTTCGCAAGTTCCAAAAGTGAAGATTTTACCTCGCTTTCAATTTAATATGGCCGACTGGTGAATAAAGCCCATGGTATCTGAGCCAATGATTGCTCTGTTTCATTACTGGCAAGTTTTTCCTTTTGTGATGATCCTCAAATTTTTCACTGTACGCACGTTCGGATATTGTACATGTAAAATTGCATTAAAATTTTTATAAACTTTTAAGAAAAAATGTGAAATTTTAATTTTTTACATTTTTTCATTTTATAGTACACATACATTTTATTTTATTTTTTTTGCAAAATGTTGTTGAATATGGCATTTAGAAATCCTGCTGATGTATTACAGTGACCAGTCAACTAAGGCCACAAAACCCCAATACTGCTTCCTATTACATGGCATTTGAAAATAGGGTAGGTAGGTAGGGAATTTTTTTTTGGAATTTTTTTTTGTGTACAATCATATGGAGGCTTCTGCGTGTAGTCAAGGGTAAAAGGTAGAAATTGATGGTTTTGGGTGTTTTCTCATTTTTCCAATAAAAAAATTAGGGTTAGGGCTGTCAGAATAGGGTACATGTACATATGGGTAGGGAAACCGGAAGCAGAACTCTTTTTTTTTTGGCCTAATAAAACAGGTTGAAAATAGGTTTTAAAGCTCTTTTATTATCGTCATATTACTGGATGCATGCTTGAAGCTATTACAATCAAGTTTCCTTTGTGTTAATTCATACACTTTACATTTTTGATTGGACTTATCTGCACCAATCTTTGTACAGTGGCCCGTGTGTTCTCAGATGATTAAAACCATTGAATAGGCAATTATAATTCTGATAAGATTCATCAGACCTGTGTATGTAAGTCTTGCATGCATAAATAAGGCAAAAAAAAAAAAAAAAACCGGTCTCTGGTCAGCGCGCACGTCGATTTTAATCATGCGCGTCAACCTTTTTTTTCTCTTCAAATTAACACGGAAGCTACAACAGCGCCCTCTATTGCCGCGCCTCCTCAAAATTTTTGTACCAAGGAGCACCAAGGAATGGGGAAATTGCACCAAGGCAAATGATAAAGGGCACCAAGGCAAATTATGGAGGACACCAATGTATAATGAGGACACAAAAAAGCAAAATAGTACCCACCTTGTCTGTACACGTCGCCGCATCAATTCTGGAACTTCGGTCTGACCAGAGACCGACTATTTTTTTTTTTGCCTAATAAACATGTACCGGTACACACAAGCAAACTACATTTAATCTTTCAACTTCATTTTTTTCCACAGATGACACTTCCTATAACTTAATACACTGGCATCTATGGAGACCCTTGTCCATACTTATTCTCTGTGGTTCCAGTTTATCCAGTTTAAAATTTCTAAGTCTTCTCTTTCTTTTTGTGGCGGGGGAGGGGGGGGGCTGCTTTTTGTGGCGGGGGAGGGGGGGGGCTGCTTTATCTTTCTATTCTAGCAAACCTCCTTCATGTAAGGGAATTCTCATTTCATGGGACTACCAACAACAGTACAAAATTACAACATAACACAAAAAGGGAAAAGACAAAAGCATAAACACTCAAATGAAAAAAAATACAAATATAAGGAGAAATTTGATAGTCGTTGACTTGATTTTATGTAAAAATAATTATCCAGTGTCAAAAAATTAAACTTGTTTTTTTCTGGGTGTTTCCATGGAAATTGACATTTTGATTAAAACGATACTTTGTGTAAAAGAGTAGATTCAATTGCTCAACTTGGCTCGTACAATTTATTCCATTAGAACAGTCTGTTCATAGACAATTTGCATAAATTAGAATTAAAAGTGGTAGCATGTCCACATTATCATTTATTCATGTCGTAAAAATCCCATATCAATTCATGATTTTTATTAATTTATGATACCGGTATGAAAGCCCCCCTGACCGCCAACTTGTTCAACCAATATTGCCACGGTAATTTCAAGTCTGCCATTAAACGTCTGCCCCGTTGAACAGATCAATGGAGCTTTTTTTTCTCATCTGGTAACAGCAGGACCGGTTCCCATCATTATCATTACTAACTTGTACAGTTGGCTGGTATACATGTCCATGTACAGGATGCATTATGCCTGGACTCTGGCATGAAAAACAGTGCATGTGTTAAAGCTTCGTCACTTCGTCAGCCGTGTTGTTGTGTTGTTTTCCCCAGTGAATTCCTCCTCCTGTTGTTTCTGTAAAGCCCTTGTGGAAACCACCAGTCCTGTCCACATGGTTCTTCATCGACAGTATTGATTTCAAAAGCTAATTGTTGAAACAAATCAAACGTGAAGAATTAAATTTATTGTCAGATGGTTTTACTGTACACAGACATATTGTATGCAATTTGAAGTTGTAGAAAAATGGTTTTGTTTCAAGTTTGCATAAACACCGGAAACAGGACTGAATGAAAAAACATCAGTCAACTATTCCACTTCATGTTTAAACATAAAGCAACTTTTACTTGTAAATATAAATTGTTTGAACAATTATATTGTCGTATACAATCATATGAATATTTAATTTGAAGTTCAAGAATTACTTTCCTTACGTGTAATTCTTGCTGGGAAAAATATGCTTATTTATACATAACATTTTTTGGTTCAAACGTTGTCGTTTTTCTCTCTTCCCTCCAGATGTCACATCCCACGGCCTACCAACGACCCAAGGCCCTGCTGACAAACTCTCCAGCAGTGACCTAGTTACCATGGTAACGTCAGCCTCCCCACTCAGCATCAGCACCATGGCAACCACGGTGCATACGCCCCCAAGTCCTGCTCCTAGCCCCTCCCCTTCAGCGGTTGCCAACACGGCCGCCCACCCAGACGAAAGTATTATTCCAATCGCAAGGTACGAATTTTTTGAAAATTTTCCACTGCTTCACCTTTTACAAGCATTAAGACCTGCAAAATGACCATAATTTTACAGAGCAAAATTAGGAATTGAACTTTGGTGTACAAATATCAATTCTTGTGCTAAAATGTTAATCTTAGGCCAAACAAAAAAATTATTCGGTCTCTGGTCAGACCAAAGTTCCGGAATTGACGCGGCGACGCGCCTTTTTTTTTTTTTCTTCAAGCTTGGATTGTACAGACAAGGTGGGGTAATATTTTGCTTTTAGTGACCTCATGTACATTGGTGTCCTCCATAATTTGCCTTGGTGCTCTCGATCATTTGCCTTGGTGCAATTTCCCATTCCTTGGTGCTCTTTGGTAAAAAAAAATTGAGGAGGTGCGGCAATAGAGGGCGCTGTTGGAGCTACCGCGGAACATTTTGGAAAAAAAAAGATTGACGCGCATGATTGAAATCGACGTGCGCGCTGACCAGAGACCGACTTATTTTTTTTTGGCCTTACTACGGTACCTCCGAAAGGTAGATCCATAAACATTTCACAAGTCTGGGTTTCTTTGCCCTTCAAAAATCCATAATTTGTTGAAAACATTTTCAATAGAAATAGCGCTTTATTGAAGTAACATGCAGGCCTGCACCTTTTTTCGGATCAGCTGATTTCCTCTTTTTCAACTTCCCATGTGTTCCATTAAAAATAGAAAAACACTGTACAAAGTCTTGGAAAGATTTGAATTTCCTCTTTTTTTGTGACTTCCCTGTTGCATGCCTGAACATGTACTGTGGGCTTTTTGTTTTAGCAGTCTGTGAATGTACACTGGGAAGATTAAAAAATATCAACCCCTTGATTTTAAGCCGTGGACCTATTCGACAGAATAAACCAAAACTTTCCTAACTATTTTGGGTGGTTATTTTCCATTCTAGAAATGAGAAGAAGTTAACCAAAGAGGCCATGGGACAGTACTTAAGAGATCGATGTCACCAAACAGTTGTCATACAACATGCTAAGGTGGCGCAGAAGTCATACGGAACAGAAAAAAGGTAAGTGTAGATGAACCACTGAACAGTACCTGCCACAATAGACCTGGGGCAAATTTCACATCGCTGCTAAGCACAAAAAGTAGCTTTCAAAAAAGTCTGGCTCATAAAAGCAGGTTACCAGCCATTTGTATTGCTCGCGATTAGAATGCAGCTGTTTTGGTATAGCATGAAAATCATGTGGAGTTCTGGCTGGTAAAGTGTTTTTATAAGCCGGGCTTTTTTTGTGCTTAGCAATTTCTTTTGCTTAGCAGTGCTGTGAAATTGGGCCCTGAAGTTTAAAAGATGCGTTCCTCATGCTATTTTTGACTTTCACCTCAAACAATAGATTTGGTTTTCCGTTGCTAGTTCTCTTTAAAGCAGAGTAATTAGAGGCGTGGTCTCTTCCTTCCCCTCCCAGGTTCTTCTGTCCGCCTCCCTGCATCTACCTCCTAGACCCAGGCTGGAGACGTAAGCGAGAACAGATGCAGCACGATGGAGAGACAGAAGCAGGCTCTCAGGTCTGTGCCTTCATGGGCATCGGTAACAGCGATCAAGATATGCAACAACTTAACCTGGAAGGAAAGGTAAAGGAAACGTGTTCTTTCAAGCCTGGCGTCTAATAACATGTTGGGAGTTTGAAACTCCGACTTCTTTATGCCTTTTAATGCCACTCCAGCATGTCCAGGTGCTGATCGGGGGGGGGGGGGGGGGGGGGATGGTAAAAAAAAACCCAGCTCTGTCCAAACAATTTTTTTTTCATAAAAATTCATTAAAAATAATGGGAACCCCCCTGCTCCGACACCCCAAAAAAATATACTGGTAATAATGTCTGCCTGTGCATAAAATACGGACATAGCCAGCTTGGTTAGGGGGTATTTGTACACTATTCTGTAATATAGTGTTAATAATTGTCAGATTTTAACAGCGCCCCCATTGAAAGTATGGTCTTAAAAGAGTCCATAGTATTAAAATTGATGGTTGAAATTGATTTGTTCTATCAGGATTACTGTGCTGCCAAGACGTTGTACATCTCCGACTCCGACAAGAGGAAACACTTTCTCCTGTCAGTCAAGATGTTTTATGGAAGCGGGGAGGATATAGGAGTCTTCAACAGCAAGAGGATAAAAGTCATCTCTAAGCCTTCCAAGAAGAAACAGTCACTCAAGAATGCCGACTGTAAGTAGGGCGTATAGTTGTGTGCAAGTTATCATAAGCCAATCACAGGCCATCGTAAGTCACTCACAACCAATCCTTTGACAGATTTTTCAATTCTTATTGCAGCAGGGAACCAGTGGCAAGCTGTGTTGTAGTGTAGTTAATCACAAGTCAATCAAAGATCATCACAAGTGAAATCATAAGCCATCACAAGTCAAATCACAAGTCATGACAACTGAATCACAAGTCCATCACAAGTCCGTCACTAGTCAGTCACAAGTCAGTCACAATTCAGTCAAAAGTCAATCATAAGTCATTCTTTTTTTTTAAAGCTCACATTTTTATAATTTAATCTGGTACATGTATTTTTTTTATTGAGGAGTAGGGCTTGGCTAGAAAGGTCCGGGGGTTGGTCTTACCACTGCATAGCATTGGTTTTTATACAGATCCTTGTCATTTGATTGGTGGAACTCACATCACGTGACATTTGTTATTGCTCCCATTCACGCCGCAGCTCAAAAAAGTACTATCCTCCCATGGGGAATGGGAAATACTATTCAACAGTTAGGGTCATGACGCGGTATTTGTGTGGAAAAGTCCAGATTTTACCTTGCGATAATATTCCTCCCATTCCACGCTGAGCCACTCAATTTTTGTATAATGTACACTGTACATGTATATTTGAAGGTTTTATGACTATTTTTATAAATTTTTATCATACATTGAACCGCAATTGGGCCTTTTGGCCGTGAGTGTTCGATAATAAAAAATAATTAAAAAAAAATTGGAAAAATAATCCCAAGTCAGTCACAAGTCGATCACAAATCAGTCACTCTAAATCATGATTCATTGATCTCACTTTTCAATCTGTTTATTTTGAATATTTATGATTGAAACATTGATCATTTGTTGAGTAATTACCATCACTTATTTGTGTCTTGCTGCATTGCGTAGTGTGTATCCATTCAGGGTCAACGGTGGCGCTCTTCAACCGTCTCAGATCGCAGACTGTCAGCACGAGATACCTCCACGTAGAAAACAACAACTTCCACGCCAGTTCCCAGCAGTGGGGAGCGTTCACGATACACTTACGTAAGTCCACCCAAAAATAGTCTTATACTAGTCCGACTACTTCCCTCAGTCTTAGAGATAATCGAATCAGAGATCAACCAGAGGAAATGTTCTTGCTGTTATGTTGTGTCCTTGGGCAAGCCACTTTACCAACCTTGTCTCTCTCCATCTTGGGTTTTGGCATTATTTCGGTCTTGCATCCCTTCCAGGGGGATTAGAAATATTCTCAGTCTTGTCATATCCCAATTTTTTTTAGACACCCTGAACAATTTCATACAATGTTTATAAACATAATACAATGTAAACCAATGTAATACAGTGTAATTAAAAGTTATACAATGTAAAACAATGTAAAACAATTTAATACAATGCAAACAATGTAATACAATGTAATACAATGTGATACAATGTAAACAATGTAATACAATGTAATACAATGTAAAACAATGTAATACAATGTAATACAGTGTAATACAATGTAAACAATGTGATACAATGTGATACAATGTAAACAATGTAAACAATGTAAACAATGTAAACAATGTAAAACAATGTAATACAATGTACTACAATGTACTACAATGTAATACAATGTAATACAATGTTATACAAATGGTCTCTTTTTATATGATAGTGGATGATGAGGAATCAGAGAGTGAGGAATTCACAGTTCGAGATGGTTACATCCACTACGGCTCAACAGTCAAACTGGTGGACATCGTAACAGGCATGGCTCTACCAAGATTGGTAAGATAAACAACTAATTTGATTTTCATTTTGCTTACTGTAACACTTCACCTACATGAAGATCCTTTAAAATCTACCGGATGATTTTTGGAGACTTGCAAGATTGAGGAAGGCGCCTAGTCCACTATTGGTTGATTCTCAACATAAAGTGACACCTGCGCACTAATAGGCTTTATTCCCGTGTCGAACTGTGGTTAGCCATAGTTCTTGTATGAACTTGCTTTATGCTGAAGGTAGAGCCCGGCCACTATGGACCCAGTGCACAGGTTCCCCCTCAACGGGTACAAAGAGATGGTAGACTAGACTCTTAAATACGTTGAAGTCGTACCCGTGATGTTAAGGAAACATATGTTGTTCGGTGTGACACTGAAACACTAGTCTGAAGCGGTTGTAAGGCAAAGGTAAAGGGGACGAACCTGTGTTCCCAGGAACGGAGTGCCCATCTCTCTTTCATTAGTGATTGGGCCAGACTCATATGCTGCTGTGGGGGGATCGCAGCACCTCCTCCACAGCGAGTCTGTTACCTTCCCAGCATTGAATAATGCCGGTACCCATTTAACACCTGGGTTGAGAGGAGTAATTGAGGTAAAGTGCCTTACTCAAGGGCACAACACGCATGGCCATGGCAGGGCTCGAACCCACAACCTCATGATCATGAATCATGTGCTCCACCACTAGACCACACGTGCCCACGGTTGTAATTGTAGTTAATATAAAAGTTGTCTTTTACTTTCTCACCTAGATTATCCGGAAGGTAGACAAGCAGACGTCGCTGCTGGATGCTGACGACCCCGTCTCACAACTCCACAAATGTGCCTTCTACATGAAAGACACCGAGCGCATGTATCTGTGTCTCTCACAGGAAAGGATCATCCAATTCCAGGTAGAATGCAACTTTCCCTCGGATCAGCTGATCTCCTCTTTTTTTACTTCCCATGTGTGCCATTGAAAATAGAGAAACACTGTACAAAGTCTTGGAAAGATTTGAATTTCCTCTTTTTTTTGTGATTTCCCAGTTGCATGCCTGACCCTAACTCCCTAGGCATTTTTGCTAGGATGCAACCTTAATCCTGCAAAATGCTGAGTGGTACAGTTTGGGCCAGATATGCCAGAGAAGTTGACCCTTTTGCCATAAGCGAGTGAAAACACAAACTTAAACGAGGTGGTTTCAAATTTGGCAAAGTATAGGATCACATGAGTGAAGTTGTCTCATTCATGAACCCTAACCCCTATGGGGTATTCTCTAGGCACCCTGCCAAATGCAACAGTATGCAGTGAACTAATACATGCCAGCCTTGGTACCAAGTACCTACCCTGCTAAATGCAATGGAATGCAGGGGTGGAATGCATCAGATCAGGACACTGCTGAATGCAGCAACTTGCAACAACTTTTTACTACTGGTGCATTCTGTTGCATTTAGCAGGGTTAGGTTTAAGTCTTATACCTAGTTGTCCGTCGCTCCGATCAAGCCCTAAACAAAGAGGCATCTGTACATCAGAATAATTTGCCCCCGTTCCGCTTTGTTGTCTTGATTCTTGAAGAAGAGGATAGCATTTCTTAAGGTCAGTGAGCACAACTGGTATAAACGTATGTAGGAGCTGCAGGATCTAGTTGAAGTAGTGTAGGGTTTTGGTTCGAACAGGGCAATCAAGTAAAAAAGATCATTAGGTAAACTTACCTGATGGTTAGTTAACTAGTGACAGCTATATGTGGTTGAGTAATCCAGTTTAAAATGTAAAAAAAAAAAGATCAATAGTTGAACTCATTGATCTTCATTAATAAGACTGGATAGGACACAGCGCCCTCCATCTTGTGCATGCACGCGTAGTCATCGGTGAGGGCTTGAAAGTTTGAAATGCGTTTGTCACACAAAGACCATGCAGCACGCGCATGTCAGGCACGCGTGGTCGCAAACGTTAAACCTGCACTGTACTACCCAGCTGTTTGTGTCCACGTTTTCCGAATCTTCACTGCGGGCAAGTATACGCGTGTCCTACCCAGTGTCCTGTCCCGTCTTACTAATGGAGATCAATGGTTGAACTAACCTGACTTTCAGTTAAGCTAGTTACTTTCAGTTAAGCTAGTTACAACTGTTTTTGGTAATAGTAATCCAATATAAAATGATTGAAGGCCAAATCTGTACAAACTATTTCATTAGGAGTTGGTTGTTAGAGTAGCATGACAAACCCTAACGACGTTGAAGGGTCTCTAAATGAAGATCTGTAATTGGTTTATGACCCCATGTTTAGAGTAAGATTGTAATTTAATATTTCAGGATTAAACTTTTTAGCAGGTACAAAATGTTAAAATGTTGATTCGATTTTATTTTTTTAATCTGTGTTCTCAAGAAGAGTTCAGAAGAATTTATCAGTTAAATATTTACTTAAATGGGTAAATAAACCCAGCTTTCTTTTAAGATAATGAATCATATATTTATTTTAATAAGCTAAATTAGGAGATAACTGGTTCAATTGGGAACAACATCTTTGAAACCTAGTTCCAAGTCAGTAGCGGCATCAGATTTTCACACAAATTCAATATTTTCAATGTTTTTTCTTTTTCAGGCCACCCCTTGTCCCAAGGAGACAGACAAAGAGATCATAAACGATGGTGCCTCTTGGACCATCATCAGCACAGACAAAGCCGAGTACAGCTTCTATGAGGGTATGGGACCGGTCAAAGCTCCGGTCACACCGGTACCTGTCGTGATAGACTTACAGTTGAATGGGGGCGGGGACGTGGCCATGCTTGAGCTGACGGGAGAGAACTTCACGCCGAACTTGAAGGTTTGGTTTGGGGACGTGGAGGCCGAGACGATGTACAGGTAGGCTGTTGATTGAATGATTTTATTTTTTTATTTTCTACAAGTCAGTTCCAGCTTTATGTAATGTCCATGACAGAGTGTTTAAGAGCTCAGTGAATAAACCTGAACATGTATTTTTTCAAATCTTATACATTCGTCAGCGAGTATTGGGCAAGGAGATTGGGAGGCAGGTTGGTGTAGCGATACTTTCTTCGCCTTCCACTGCTGTGACCTGGGTTCGATTCCTGTCTGGGCCAATATGTGGATTGGATTTTCATTGGTTTTCCTCAGAATTTTCTTCTGGGGTTTTCCTCCCACGTTTAAAACTGTAATTTCTTCACATTGTCTTCTCTTTACTGGGCCCCTTGGGAGACGAGTGGATTCCACTGAATGGGCTACCCAGTTAAAATAAGAAATAAATAAGTAGATAAAGAGTTTTGGATCATTTCTCTGAATCATTAATTAGATATCATTAGTCATTGGCTCTGTCATGGACATTACACTTCCTTTCATAAATCAGGAATTGCCCATCACTAGAGCGTCCCTGTCTTCTGTTAAGACCACATTGGAGTTCCTAAAAGATTGTTTGGTTCAAGAGTCGTCCATTATCACATCTTGATTTGTTCCCATTCAAATCAATGTAACCAAGGCGAGGCTGGAAAGAAAAATAGTCTGGTTCCTTTTTGCACAAAGAAACATCATTCGATACTGTTATAGGATACGGGGAACATGACTGAAATGGTGGCAGCATGATAAAGGTGTATAGCCCCCTCCCTTTGGTAAAAAAAAAACATGATAATGTTTACCATAAGAATGTTTGTATCTCTATGATATGTGTGTCTCTCCATCCATCAGAATGCGAGTTGTCATTTATTTGCTCCTTTTTGCTTCAGAAACTTGACATTTTGTCTTATTTTTTTCCTTCCACAGATGTGCCGAGTACATGCTTTGTGTAGTCCCAGACATCTCAGCGTTCCGTGGCGAGTGGCGATGGGTTCGTAGACCGACCCAGGTCCCTGTCACGTTAGTCCGTAACGACGGCATCATCTACCCAACGGGGCTTACATTCACGTATACACCGGAGCCCGGTCCAAGGCCAATCAACGGAGCCCTGGATGGAATCCTTCATTAAGTCTGCGGGGTGGAATTTTTGTATAAAATATCATCAGGAAAGTGACTGAAAAACTTATCCTCCGTTAGGTCTGCAGAGTTGTGTCTTTGTAGAGAAAACTCACAAAGAAATAACAGACAGTCTAACTAGTGGAATGTGATGCTTCATTCGAATTCCACAAACATGATTAAGTGCGTTGCCATGGATACACACATTTACTTTTTAGCGAGGCATGTTGAAGTGATGGAAGTGCCAGTTCATGAGTCGGACATCAGTGGAACACTCCATTTTGTAAGAGGGGTGTTGCATTGCTGATGTGCTCCAGAGGGATTGCCTACTTTTGCAAGACGGAGAAAAGGAATACTTTCAGCTTTTGTTAGTATGATTTCTCAAGCACTGTGATGTCAAGAAAACTCCCATCGTTAATAAGAGTATGAATTCCTGGCTCAGGAATTCCAACGTTGCACCGTCAAAAGGAATTCTAGTTAAGCAAAGCAAGCTCTTCACAGCATCAGCCATATTTGCAGACGACACTCTTCATACTGTACGAAGGAGTCTTGGAAGATGCGTTTTTGCAGAGGAGACATACATGCAAGAGTTGGAGGACAACGGAGTTCATCGTTGACTTGTTCCAGAGGATTTTATGGCTACAACGTTTCACTGGCAGGATATTTGCCTGAAATTCCCTTTTGACTTGTCTTGGAAGGCAAGATTTTGATCAAAACCCATCAATTGAGGTCACTGCTGCAGTGTGGGATGTGAGCCAGCCAACTGACCCTTGCAAGCTCAGTGGTCTGCTGATCGAACATCTGCACTCATGAGCGGGTTTTTGGTTCGACTCCCACTGGAGCAAACTTGTGAATTTTTTCTCGCACGCTTCCTGGAAGTGCTTGGAATACTGTGCTTATAATATTTCATCAGTGAAAAGCATTTCATCATCTTCTCGGTAACTGATGAGCTTCAAGTCACAAACACTTGTGATTGTTGCATCAAATTCAAGAGGATTTGCAGAAGTTTTCTTCGCAGGAATCACAGCCCTTCACTGATTTGTAGTCTGAGCAATCCGACTTCAGATCCGAGGATACGGAATTCTTTTACAGTAAGGTAAAAGTTCACGTTTTGGAGGAAATAATGGCTGCCAGATGTGCTGGTTCTCGTGTCTGTTGTCATGGAAACGAATGGGTCAAAGGTCACCATTGGAAAACAATTCATAGATAGACTTTGTTCTAATCAGCATAAGGTATTCATAATTGACTGGAAATGGTCGGCCATCTTTGTCTGGTTCTCAGTGTCTTTAGCACATCATGAAATGTCAAATTTGAAACGGAACCAGACTGTATCTTGCATCTGGAATAACGCACTGTTATTTTTCAAGATCCGTTTTTGAGATTCGACACAAGGTCAATTGTATAAACACCTTGTTGACAATCGTCTGGTTTCCAATATCACTGATGAACATGTACATACTGAATCTTAATTTTGAATTTTTTTTTATGACAGGGAGCCAGACCGATGCTTTTTTAAATTATCTTAACTCGGTCTCCATTTCCTGGTTCAGTAATTTTTGAGATTTTTTTTTTCTCTTCTTTTGTAAGCCATGGTTTTTATTGTGTAATATATATTTGGATGTACCATGGCAGTTCACATCTTCTTTTTAATAAGTGACAGATCTCAAATGTATGGAGGGCAGATGAGTCAAAGTAGGAAATTGCCTGAAGCCATATTTTCTCTGATAAAACCATGAACATCTTGAAGACATAAAATGTTGCCGAATTGTTGTGATTTACTGAAAAAAATTCAGAACAATCACACCTCTCATTCGCCAATTTCAAACGTTAAGATTTCTTGTACTCCATAGGCCAAGTAATGAAACAAAATTGGTTAAAAACAAATAAATTGGTTGTTCATCTTGAAGTATGGAGTAACAGCGCCCTCAAGCTATAAGCCAGTTCGGTATCTCGGTGAAGTAGTCCATGTCAGAGGTCATTCGGGATAAAATCGCTGACGTGATGATACGCGATGTTACGCGGACGCCCATTCTGCTTGCAGTTAACACGCGAGCGTCGTGCGCCTGGGTCCGTGCGCCTTCATGAGCCTTCAATTATCCTGAATGACATGTGACCCATATCATTGTGCGCATGCGCAGTTGAAATACCTAACTGGATTATTGTGTCTATAGCCCAAATGATAGCTGGCATCGTTATCCAGAAAACTTTGATTGCTCTTTCAAAAAAAAAAAAAAAATACAAAAAATTGTCTCTTACAAGAATTCATTTGAAATTTGAGGATGGTTATTTTGTTCACAAAAAAAATTGTTGGAGAGAGGAAAGAAAAACAAAAGGTGCCTTAAAAGGGGCAGAAAGAGAACAACAAACAAGTTTTTTTTGTTACATGGCCTCTAGCCTCACTAGACTTCCATCAGTCCTTCCCCGAGTCACAATCAAGCCTTGAACAAGTTAGTTTAAACTTGAGCTTTAAGAAAGAAATATACAAATTTTATATATTTTTATATTGTCATTCTGCAGAAGTGTTGCTACATGTATGTACTTCGCACAGCATATTCTTTTTAAAGAGATACGTAAAACTAGGTAGTTTGTTCATGAGTTGATATATTTGTGTATATGGCCCACCTTCAATTTAACAGGTGCCTTGATTAATAGTAGCTTTGTACATTGTGCATACACTCCTTTCTTGTGCACCCCCTGCTCCCCCACCCCTTCCTCAGCCCTTCCCTGCCCCTTCCCCGCCCCCTACTGCTCCCCCTCCCTGCCAAAGATTTTATCTGTGCCCAAATGTCCACTTGTTTACTCCTTTCTGTCGCAAACACTTCAAACCTTTTAAACTTTTTGATAAAGGATTTCGAAAAGAAAATGTAATGTTTTGCGTTTGCTCATTATTTCAAGATCGGTCGGCTCTTTGGCTCTGTGCCAAGTTAATCTTGCCTCGTCTCAAAAAAGTCACTATTTTTTTGAAATTATGGTTGTTCTACACAAAGTGTGACTATAACCACCAGAAAATAAATTTAAACAAATCAAATAAAAATCGCTGATTTTAAACAAGCTCAGATGATCAGAGATGAAACTTTTCCGATTTTAATCGGAAATCCGACTTTTTGAATTTTCCAACGAAATTTCCAATTTTTTTTTATCAATGTGTCCCACAAAATTTGATTTTTTGTAACGATTTTTTCACAAAATGTCATTTTATTTCAATCATAATTTCGCAGAAAAGTCGATGAATAGTCGATGGAAATGACACGTTAAAATCATCGCGAACGTAGTTTTAATCTCTTTCACTAGTCGTTATTGGAGTGTTTCAACGGTAGAAACACAGGCCATAACACTGATCGGTGCCTTTTCCGGCTGGACAAAAGGTTAAACATTGACAGGTGACATGGAAAAAACTGTGTCGCACGTGCGTGCTTGTACTGTACGCAATGATACCAGCGCACGTACCGTACCGTCCGCTCGCACACGGCCGGTCGGGAACAGTAGCCTTCCTTGCTTGCGTCGTGTTTCATTTCCTTTACCCACGCCCTTTTTTATAAACCTTTTTATTCTTTAGTAATACTTTACCAAATTTCTGTGAATAAACCTGGAGCAACAATGTCACATCCGCACCCTATACCACCAGCTGACCTCACTGCCAGGGTTGTAACACAGTTGTGGTTAGTCATGAAATTCTTTGGCACTTTTAAAGGAAACACACCTTTTAAAGGCAACATAGAACATTTGCTTTTGCTGTAATTTTCAGAAATGGATGGATTTGGGGATTAGTATTTCATAGCAACTATTTGTTACACTGACCTCTTTAAAGGTTTATGTTCATAGATGCTGGAAAAAAAAACATGAAAAAAATACTGTTCTTGTAATCTGGTTCCCAGACCCTACTTCAGACAAAACGGAGCAAATTATAGAAATCAGGTCAGGGTACCAGACTATTAGGCTTGCACCCGTTCACAGATGTGTAACCGATTGCAAACAAAATGTTCACTAACCAAATTTGGTCACTTGGGGGCAGTATTTGGAAAAAAGTCAGTGTTTGCGATAGAAAACTAGTATTATAGAAAAGGGATATAATTCTTGAAAATGACAGCACACCAGGTGCCACAATTTCAAAGGATGCTTGAGACTATTATTCACTTACAGTCAAGTAAGATATTTCATAATAATTTGGCGGTTTTGCTTTTTTTGATGTTGGCAAATGTTGTACCGGTATATTGCCTTTAATTGCCAAATTGTTTAGTAGCATTCTTTTGGGTGTTGCAGAAAGCTTACTATCCTTCATTTTTATTTTTCACTGACACATAACACCCCCGATCCCTTTGAGACTTGCTGTCCACAGTCACACCAAGTTATATTATTTCAACGATTAGAGATAAGTACATGAAAAGTTTGACTTAAAAAATGGTAAACCTTCATAATGTCACAATGAGTCTGTAGCTGTGTGCATATCCCCTCTTGTGAATATCTGAGCACTTTCATTGGTTAGAGTCAATTATGATGTCATTGTGTAAACTCATGAATAATGCATTAGCTGATAAATAAAGTGAAACGCCTTGATGTAAAAAGCTTTTTGACTATAGATGTACATGTATATCATATCCTTGCTTTGCAGAAATAAAGTACATGTGTAAATCAGCTATGACACTGCCGTATGATAATCATTCCAGCATGAATATTTATATCAATTGAATATTCAGATTTATTCAGTTAAACATGAATATTCATTTATTACTCATTTTAACACCTAAAAGGTCATCTTGTACATGTGTCCAATTTGTCATTCCGAAAAACGGAATACCATTCAAACTGCTGTACATGTATTTGGTTTGCTGCACCCTAGATGGTGATATAGCTCCTTTGAAATATCATGAATATTAATAAGGTGTCTTAAATATTCATATTTTTTTCTTTTAGTTTATCGGTTACTCTTACAGTATTCTTTCTTCATGCACCTGTATATTCAGATTCTTAATAATCGCCAAAAAAGTGTATGCGTTCAATCGAAATGTTATTTTTGTAAGAAAGAAATTTTTTAAAACAGTATTCATAATTTTGTTAAGTTTTTAAAATGTTTTAAATGACATACATCTTTAGCGCATACGGTGTATGATTGCACAAAATGAATGCATATTGATATGTAGCATATGTGTATTTAGCATACCACACTGTTGTTAGAGTCTGGCTCCTTTTTTTTATCCCCATAAGGCTAATGTGTGGAGACCACAGGGGACCCTCCATGTCAAGTGAAATTCTGCATTATTCACAATTATTAATGCACAATTTAGACAATCCTAAAAAAGCAGTGTAAGGCAAAAAAAAAAAAAGTTTCCGGTTTCTGGTATGCGCGCGCGTGGCCGTAGCCATGCCCGTCGGAAAAATGAAAAAGGTTTTTTTCAATAAAAGATGATGTCTCAAAACTGCCAAACTCACTGGTTTGACTGGAATCCTGCTGCTGCACAATTTTAACGTGTTTTTAGATGGGGGTATGATCGAGAATAAGCTTTATGTGGACTCTCTGGGCTCCCGTACATTTTGCACTAAGTTTAGTCGGGCACCATTTGCAGTCATCAGCTGACATTTGAAGCAAAAAAGTCAGGAAAAAAAAAAAAAAAAGCCGCTTCGCCGCACCACTTTTTGGGCAAGCTCCATACCAGAAACCGGAGACTATTTTGGGGGGCCTAAAGGAAGAAGTGTCTGTTTCTCTGAAAGCGACAAACGCTCGTGGCGATTGTGTGAAATCTGTGGTTCATGGACTGAACCAGTAGGTCCTGCCTGCGGTGTTTATATCTGCAGCACACATCGTCAATGGATCATGATCATTCAGCTAGTTCAGTGTTTATTCATAAGAAAATAACAATGACGTTACACCATTGCTACCATTCGGTCATGCATGGACATTAAAGCATTCCTAAGAATGGCTTTTGAGCTGCCACAGTGGCCTAGTGGATAGTGGAATGAACTATGGATCGCAAGATCTGTGGTTCGAACCCATGTCCATTTTCATCTAATATATTTGTTGGTTGGGATAAAATTAATTGAAAGGAAAAACTATGAGAACCTAAATGTCTTCCATCCACACAGAGTGATAATATTTATGTAAGGGTGTGTGATTGGTTAAAATACGATGCATGCTGCCTAAAACAACAAAAAAAGTATGTGTCCATGGCAACAATACATACACTTCCTCAATAGGCCTAATATTAGGCCCCGCCCACTGTGTCCATGGCAACAATACATACACTTCCTCAATAGGCCTAATATTAGGCCCCGCCCACTGTGTCCATGGCAACAATACATACACTTCCTCAATAGGCCTAATATTAGGCCCCGCCCACTGTGTCCATGGCAACAATACATGCACTTCCTCAATAGGCCTAATATTAGGCCCCGCCCACTGTGCGCATTGGCAACAGTACATACACTTCCTCAATAGGCCTAATATTAGGCCCCGCCCACTGTGCGCATTGGCAACAATACATACACTTCCTCAATAGGCCTAATATTAGGCCCCGCCCACTGTGCGCATTGGCAACAATACATGCACTTCCTCAATAGGCCTAATATTAGGCCCCGCCCACTGTGCGCATTGGCATTGTGCGCATTGACCTCATTTTGTGATGTACAGTAACATTTGAGTGGCAAGAATGTCTGATATTTATCCAACATAATTCTTCTCCTTCATAACTGTGATTGGGCAAAACATCAACGTGCAAGGTGGAATGGACCATCTTTGAAAAGAAACCAAATTAAAAAACAAATTCTTATCATTTGTAGTATTATTGATGGTTATGAAACCAAGGATTCCCCAAAAGCACCCTAGGCACTGTAGCTCGCAAGCCTGAAGAAACCTGTAGAGAAAAGACAATAAGAAGGGACTACAGTTTTAGAAGTGGGAGGAAAACCCCAGAAGAATATTCTGGGGGAAGTCCATGGCATCGGGTAGGGACTGAAAACCCAATCCACATATTGGCCTAGGCAGTGCTAACCTGACTCCCCAATATTCAAATGTTCATGCAGAATTTTACTTGTATTTCTTTTGGTATAAATTCAGTGTTAATCAGATTTGTTGCAAAATTGTCGAAATCCTGTTTTTGTCAAAATGCTTCTTGTTTTTTTGTGTAAGTTCATTTGTGGAAGGTTTAAATTTATTACATTTTCCAAAAGTAATACATTTGTTTCAAAACAAAGTTTTTTAAATGCCTTAAATATGTAAATATTTTTGATGACAATACACCAACCAATTTCAAGCAAAAAACGTAGTACAATTGTAGCACAAGTTACAAGTTTATATATGACACAATAAAATGTACAATTCAAGTATATATATTTGCCTGTGAGAGGTGTCCTTATTTATCGATGAGATATTTTTATGTCCGTCGGTCAGTCGGTCAGCACTGGAGTTGCCAGGATGGGGCATTTAAGGCTGCTTGCCCCCCCCCCCCTCCCTTCCCCCCGGAAAAGCAAGCCAAGAAAAAAAAAAAAAAAATTCAGTCAATCATTCGGGAAGTCAATCAGTCAGTCAGTCCTTTTGAGGACGATGTGCTTGGCTGGCCGTTGGTGTCAGAGGTAACCTTTGAAAATGGTGCCTTACTTTTCATCACTCTATAAAGCAAAACACAAGCTTTGCTCATCTGTCTGTTTATTAATTACAAAGAAATTTTGTCAGTTCATGAAATGAACAATGAAAACGTGATTCTGTATAGACTGTTTGCAGTGCACCCATGTTGAGGCATGTGCTTTTGTTCAACAGGGGTACGCATATGAGACCTGTGCGTTCATTAAAATACAAATTATAATAAAACCTCAAAGATGACAGCTGAACTCTGTACAATATTACACAATCTACTAAGGCACCAAAAGTTGTGGGATTTTTTTTTGAGTGAAGCTATGAGGAAGTTGAATGAACATTGCTTTTGCTTTGCAAGGACGCGGTGCATAATGCTGACGGGCAGGAAGTGTAAAAGGAAATGACTGAGAAAACAAATGAAACAAATTAACCAGTCGTACAGCAATGTCATTGTCATATTGCCAGTCGATTTATTTTTACACAAAGAACATCCGTATTTATGCAGTTGTAAGTGGACCATATTGGATCACTACTAGCAAAAGGGATCAGTGGAGAAGCCGGCATCTTGTCATCACTGGTTGAGCGTTTACACAGAATTGACATGCATCACAAGACTTTGACTAATGTTGGTAGACGTACCGCAAACGGTGTCAGTTGATATTCTTTCCTCAATTAGCAGAAGTTTCATTTCCTTTTGGAAATGATGAGGTAAACAAAACCACACAGTGTTGACGTCAGAATTCACTGAAATACAAAACATCATTAACTTCAGTGTATCATTACCATTGCTGGTAAATTATGTGGAAACGTTCATGAAACCAGAACACAAAAACCAATTTAGTTTTGAAAAGGCCGAAAGACTTCAAAGGGGACTGGTGTGACTCTGGATGTGTATGTACATAACAAGGAAGCTCGGTAAGAAAGTACAAAGCAACAATTGACAACAATCAAGAGTGCTTCGGATCGAGCCAGTTATTTCGTGGTTCAGCTTTCAGTTAACTCATTGATGCATGCAGTCAGGGTCGCATAAGCCAGCAACACACCTTAATTTTGTGAATATTTCAAACAGTTTGCATTGAGTTCACTTGAGGAGTATAATGCACGATTGTTCAGCGCAGTTTTAATTGGTCATTATCAACGGATTGCATTCATCTGCATGAGTGAGATGTTACCATGGAAACCAGGAGGAATCTAAGCTTGTCTCTTGTTGTGTTTTTCATCTTCATCTTTCACAAAGGTAAGAAAAAGTTTGGGAATTTAAGATGGAAAAAATACCAGGAAGTAAAAAACAAAAATTGGTAATGACTTGGTAATTATATAGTGCACAGGTACAGTGTTATTGCGGTGGTGGGGCCAGGTTTTCAAAAGGGGTGGCTGGGCTGTTGAAGTCCCTCATTTTTTAATGGGCGGGGGAGGGAGGAGGTTAAAGACCATGGCCCGTTAAGCACTTAAACAAGACTTGCAATATTGAGTAATTCAGGGAACTTCAAGAAGTTTTGGATTTCCTCCAAATACATGTATGTAAAAAATATTAGCGAGGGGGGGGGGGGGGGTTAAGGCTTCCCAATCGTCCCATTGGATCTGTCCTTGTACTGTTCACTTACATTCCTCAAGAGATACATCAAACCATGGAGGATCAAACGCAATATACGGGTACAATATAACTTGCTTCTCTAAGGATGGCCATTATTCTAGGAAAATTAAAACAAACATTTTTAACTTTGCATTTAGAAATGGATAATTCTATTGAAGGAATGCATGTATGGCTATTGAAAATATGTCTTGGAAGATACATTTTAAATTTCTGCCAATTCTGAAAGAAATTGATGCATTATTTTGCATGGCACATGACACATTGTCAGTAATGCAAATTGATTTTCCTGTTAGCTGATCAATACACATGCAAATTGAGGCGTAGTAGTTCGTGTGTTCAGTATTATATCATGTTTGGAAGGCATTTTGATGGAAGTTTTTATCATCGAATTCCATACAGTAATTGCTTTTCTGTATTTACAGGGCTTTCTCTTGATCTGCGTGTCCCCGGAATTACAACGAGTCAGAGTTCGACAGCGCCTGTGAATGCCGAAGTCTCGAATGCTGTGGATCGAAACACTGGAACCTACTCGCACACAGGTTAGTGCTGTTTTGCCTCATCTTCAATATCAAAATGGACTTTGTTCAATCCTCTCAGTTAGTTAGATTTGTGGAGGCCCATATGCAATGGTGCAATCTTTGAAACTTTCAGGATCACCTTTGGATACCTAAGAAATAGCGTCAAGTGCAGAACCACTGGATGCTAGAAGGTGTCTCACCTTTTTTGGTGGGCGGAGTCGTGTTTTTGTGGTCTTAGAGGGCCAGCGTAGTATCCTGCTTGTACATGTACCTATCTCAATGACTGACTGACTCACTGACTGACTCCCCCTGGTGAATTAAATTGGTTACAGGTCTATCTCACTGACTGACTGTTCATCACTTGTGACTTTAAAACTGGTCAAAGAGTAGCAGTTTCACAATAGGCTTGCCTATGCATGTATCTGATGTAGCACTATAACACATGTGCATTAGTCTGAGATTCATGCACTTTCGTGACATGTTTAAAATGAATGAGACTGCTAATAACCTGACTTTTCCTTTTCATCCATACAGGGTATGCCAACCAGGAGGAACTTACGAACCCCTGGTGGAAAGTGGACCTGGGAGCTGTCTACTGCTTGAGGAAAATTACTCTGGTCAACAGGATAGACGAGGAGGGCAAGTACTCTTCTTAAATATGTTACTTGGATGAGCATGTACCAGTAGGATGGCATGTTAATTTTTCCTGGCCTATCCATAGTAGGAGCCTTCTGAAATCATTTTGATGAGCATGGCATATATGTATTAAAATATAAAAATGCACTAAAAAAGCACAGAAAAATATGAAATCAGAAAACAGAGAGGTATTGTCTTCCAGCTGCAAAACATATCGGTAACCATGCCCACAAAAATCATTTTCCTGCTATGGAGTTCCATCTTAAAATTTATATTGTGATCAATTGCATTATACTTCATATCCATCTCAGTACTTCAAAATGTACAATCAAATTCCTTGCAAGTTGAATGATTTGGTGTGTTACTACTGTTGCAGGTCGCCGATTGCGGGATAATGTAATTCGTGCTGGTTTGAGCTCCAATCACCTGCAGAACACAGAGGTAGGACGGGTTCGAATGGATCAAGCTGTAAATAGAGCGGTTGTTGATTTCCTACCAGACCCCTACGTCACTGCACGATACGTCAGCGTGGATATCCCTCGTAACGGTTCAGGTACTATCGTCCAGTTAGTTGAAGTTATGATTGAGGAGGTTACCATGGATACGATCCAGACTGACACACTAACAGGTGGGTAAAGATAATAATTATTAATCAGTTATAATGCTCATTGAACCTACATACCAATCCAAACACAGAGTCCCCCTTCAATGGAGAAACCATTGTGCAAACAATTATTGTACAAAGCAGCTGCCCCATGATGGATGGCCTGAACAATAGCTAGCACAATGCTTCCGCCATTGAAGGGGCCTCTGTGAGTGTGCAGTGTGCTCAGAAATGGGCAATAGATGATGGTTTATTTGTGTGTAAAGAATCGTCATTCTGGAGGAATTTGAGATGATGTTGAGGTCACAAAATAAATATCTTTTACCCATCGCACAGGACAAACTAGTAGAATCATTGAAATACATATACTTTGTCACTCATCAAAACACAACTTTTCTACCTTTTTATCATCTTGCAATGTCAGTTTGATTGATTTTGTATTATTGCCAAATATCTTGCCTTTACATCACATAATTGAATGACCCATTTCAATCAATTAGGTCATTGTCTCTTATTGCACAACGTGAATGATTTCACTGTCTTTTTTCCCATTATTCTTGAAGCCCTGAATCTGACTGGTCTCGTAAGCAGCCAGAGCTCAACATATCGTAATTCTAACGGTACTTGGTATGCTTCAGGAGCTGTGGATGGATCGTTCCTGTACAGTTATAATGCCGCCCACTGCAGTCATACAGGTAAGGCTGATCACCAACTTCCATTTGATATTGCCTAATTCAAGCAAAACAAATGTAGCAGGCTGAATCAAGCAATTATACTTTCCAAAAACTTTGAGCCAGTCTGAACAAGAAATTTGAAGGATGCCCTCTTTCATTGATAAACTCAATCACAATTATGAAATTTCATTGATATAGTGCATTTTTTGAACAGAGTTTTTTTAAATATTTTGTATGTTAATGAGCCTGGTATCATTGTGAAAGTAATGTACTATAACAAACCCTGCACTATCAGCCCTTCTCCCAGATACAATCTACTTGTTCCATTTCATTTATTAAGCTAATTAATGTTCATAGCATCACCTCTATTTTCATCACTTTGCATTAACCTGAAAACCAACTTTCAGTAAAAAGGGGGTTTTTTTTGGTGCTAATATTATACATTATCTGGATCTGTTATGTGACTATTTTTTTTCTGTCAGATGGAGAGTGGTATCCCTGGTGGAAGGTAGACCTGACCTCTATTCACTGCATCGGGAAAATTGCCATCAGGAATCCAGATCATCTTGAACGTAAGTTTTTCATCAGTTTATAATTGCAGTGGTAGGAGTGGTTTGAGAGACAATCAAATCAGTACCGCTTTGCCTGAGCTTATTTTCAGACAAAATCTTTGATTTTGCCAACATTCAGACCCAAATGAACACTGACGAAAACATCACTCAATAGGCTGAAATGAAGTTTCTCAAACTGCACAGTTACCCCCTCAGAAGTGACCCGAAAATGCAATTGTTCCTGTCTCACTTCATTTTCTTTCCTTTAATTTCAGGCGACGTTAGATTACGTTTGCAAGGTGCTGTTGTCCGTGCTGGCCTGAATGATGCACATCTTACTAACCTGATGTGTGGTTCTCAAGTAAGCCAGTATCAAGCGTTAATCAATGATTGGATTGAATTCACCTGCGATCCCTCTAGACTCGCCCAATATGTTAGCGTCGATATTCCAAGATACACGTATCTTGCACTGGCTGAAGTAATGATATGGCCATGTGATCTCCACCCAGCAGGTAAAGTTTGGTTTAATGCAAATGTCAGTTGTGAAATTATGTTAAAGTATATATAGTGTGATCTTTATTTGTCGTTTTTAATGTTCTTTTCCTTAAATCATTGTACTCTGGTATTAAAATGTTGAATGAAGGAAATGGTGTCAGCGTGACCTGATTAATAGGAAAATGTAGCAATAAAAATGTAAGATGGAATTTTGCCTCACCGACATATTCCATTGCTGTCCGAGAAAAATTCAGTGTCTTGTAAGACGGCATTTTGCATTGTGTAATTCTGTTACTGTGTTTTTGTATTAGACTGACATGTTACATTATGCAATAATTATTATTTTTTTAGATCATACTTGAAGTTAGTTGGCATGCTGTGTGTTTGTTTGTGCTAAGAATAACTGGCTGCATTGTAGTGTGCTACATCTAACTTTCAACTTTTTTCCTCCCTTGTAAATTTTCATGCAGCCCTAAACTTAATCGATAAACCCAGTGATCAAAGCTCAACAGATGGTACTTTCGTCGCTGGTAGAGCATTGGACAGTCTTCCAGTAGGAATTTATTGCAGCCTCACAAGTAAGTTATCTTGGTCCATTTACACAATTCACACTTTAGTTTATTCTCAAGAGACATTTTGCCTGCAAATAAACCTGTCCTATAATCATTAATATAGAGACAAAGCACCTGCCTAAAAACAATAAATTAAATTGCAAATATATTTTAGTTTGAAAATTTGATATGCATGCAGCTTTAGAAAGTCAAGTTGTCAATGTTTCATGAAAGTACTACAGACAGAGAAATTGAATCTGAGATTGGTGGATTTCTTAGAAATTGTGTTTCCATATATACATGTCTTCAATTAAAACCAATGGAAGATGTATTGATAGCTAGGAACGTTGTCTCGCCTAAAAGGTGGTGTCTAAAGGGGGAAAAATCCTTGGAAATTTTCAATATGTTTGCGATTGAACGGTTAAATCAATTGTTTTATTTTCAATTTCAAGTGTTCGAAATGAACCCCTGGTGGATGGTGGATCTTGAGTCAAGTCAGTGTCTGGGACAAATCAGAGTTTGGAGCTATGGACAGGGTAAGATGATGTTAACGTCTATGCTTTAATTGGTGTATGTATTTTAAGAATCTGTAGTCAATCAGATAATGAAAAGATTCAAACAAGATTTTGTCTGTTTCTTTTGTCATCAAATCTTTATCAGGTGCAAAAAAGATGCAATTATATTTGCTGTGATAAACAAAGGTGGTGTACTTTTAAACTTGGAAGATTTTTTTTTCTTCAAATGTTCTGCTTGAGTTTGTTTTTGTTAGACCGATTACATTCATTGCATTCATTTTAATGCAAGAATGATTTTAAATAAATTCCAAGTCATATCAAAATAATTAGATTACAAACAACTTGATGAACAATGCCTGAAATTTATGGGATTGGAACAATTTTTAATTGTGGATGCGTCCCAAATTTTAATCACTTCTTAACCCAGGATCCAATTTCCAGGATGCTGCTGTACGTGCTGGGCTAAGCGATAATTACACCGAGAATGTAGTGTGTGGTCGACAAGTCCAAGCTTCATCCGACTTTGTGGAATTGACCTGCGATCCGCCCGTACTTGCCCGGTATGTTAGCGTCGATATGCCTGAAATGGCAAAACTCGGACTATGCGAAGTGACAGTAGCTACGTGTGATATCAAGAAACAAGGTAACTCAATATGTATGAAGAAAACCTCCCCTACGACATACTATTAAAGGAATCTAGATCTTATAACTTAAAAAATCGTAGGGGTTGCTTTGACAAAATTATTTGTACTTATTAGACAGTGGTTGGTATTATGAGGAAGGTCCAAAATATGTTCAGTTCCTGAAAGTATCGTGTTCCATTCACAGTTTTCAGGCTATTGGAAAAACAAACTCAGGCATTGCATCTCCTCAAAGGCCGGAGAAAAGAATTGTGATTGTGATGCTCAGTGGTAATTGCCATGCTAGCTCGATACATGAATGTACAAATTGCAAGTTCAAAGTAGACATATTGCTATGTGATTAGTGGTCTTGTAATGTATTCATGGTGTATTGCAGTCGTTCTGTGCATGCTTGCCTTCTTTCACATGTCAAATTGTTCAGGCCCTGGAGCAAAAACCTACGGCTTCTTTTTGCCCAAAGGCAAGAATCAGGATCAGGTTAAAAGTCCTCGGTTTCAGAGTGTAACTAATATAAACTGTTTTCTTTTACAGTTGATGGTGTGGATCTTGCTTTGGTTGTCAACCCCCCTCTACTTGGCCCAACTGGAGACAGCGATTCCGTCATTGCAGTGTACAGAGGTCCTGAGGAGATAACATCTCATGTCTCATTTGGTCGCCAAGTCTCAACAGGAGGAGCGTCTGGCCTTCCTTCAGGCTCAGGCGAGATTGTAGATTCATCCTTGGGATGTACAGTTAGATTGCTTAGATTACCAGAGGAGGGAGGACTTGATAGGACGGGTGTCTTCTACGCAGAAGCGACCAGAAATGGCTTGACCACTGGGATACAGACCATCATTCTACCCAAAGATGGTGAGATGATTTATGTGTTTTGTGAATATTCAGCATTTATTAGGTGCCTGTTCATCCAAGGTCACTTTTCTTTAATAGAACATAACCAAAGAATATAATATAGCATTTCAGCAGCTTATTTCTTACATAATTGGCTCTAACTAATGTGGCAATCTGGCCATAAATTGTCAAATATGTTGAGTTTTTATACCAAATCTGCCTAAATTGGGAGAAAATAGGTGGTATACTCATACGTTAGTTAACAGTCCTCTTTGATTTCATTTCCTCTTTGATTTCATTTCAGGAGTTCATATACGTCCCGTGGTGCGAACACAAACAGCAAGTATTGGGGACTCTGTAGTAATGGAAATGCGGAAAGTGAGCTCACCGAGTGAAGACTACAGATGGAGGCGTAATGGAGGTGATGTCATCGAAACTTGGAACAACCTCCTGAGTGTATCGATATCGAATGTTGCTAAGGAGAATGAAGGAGTATACAGCTGCTTCATTGTGGATCAAGAAGATGAACAACTGCATGGAATCATGAGACTCATAGTTAGAGGTTTGTCAGAGATTTGACTATCTCTACTTATGCTTGAATTCACAACATTGGGTTTTTTGCAGTAGTAAATTTCATTTACAAGTCAACTTACGAAGAAGCTTTTTTTATGACGATGAACTTGTAATTCAGTTTTATTCAATTGTGAAGATTCAAAATGTGAAAGGCTTTCCCTTTTTTTCAATACTAGATTGTCCTTCCGGACGTTGGGGCCCACCATCATGTCTGGAAACCTGTCGTCGATGCTACAATGGCGGTTTATGTGATGACGAGTCTGGTACCTGTATCTGTGCTCCAGGGTTCAGTGGAGACAATTGCGAGGAAGGTAAAGAGTTATATAGCGATTATTATTTTCTTCATTTTTCAAACATGATTGTAGCTTCTCCCAGAACATCTTGAACGGTGAACAACAGTTGAGATCATTATGCCAGCCTGGAAACATATCGTCCCTTCAACTTCTTTCTTTTGGATGGGGGGGGGGGGGGTCATCTGCTGGCCCATGATGAGGAGAAAACTTGAGTAAATTTGAAAAGTATGGGCAAAAACACACATTTCATTTTAGCTGTTGTCATCTTGGTGTCGTGTTTTGCAGTCCATGGCCGTAATGTCTTTGGTAAGACTGCTGATCAGAGGTGTTCCAATAGCACTGATCCACACCACGAGGCTTGTCGAGGGCGCTTGTTCTGTCTTCCTGATCCTTATGGATGCTCGTGTGCTGCAGGGTACATGGGACTTGACTGTATGCAAGGTACGGTAGCGTTAGAAGTAGTTTGGATTGTATTGGTAAATGGTTTCGATAAAGATAGTTCACTCGTTTCAAAGTTATTGAATTATGCGTTTCTGTTATGAAGAAGTTATTTGTGAAAATTGTGGTATTACCTTTTTATTTTATTTTCTTCAGAATGTGCTGAAGGAACATTTGGTGCTGACTGTAAGCAGACATGTCACTGTGTATCGGGAGGAACCTGCAGTAAAGATACAGGAGAATGCAGCAATGGTGAGTGTGTCTGGCGTTGGTGAAATGCCACTAATGTTACAGTACATTTTCACTAAAAAAGTGTTACTTAGCCATTACGCAGAAATCAGTTGTTTTGTTGTTTTAATTTTAATGTGCTCACAATTTTTTCTTTTTAATTCCATTTTCCAGGTTGTGAGGCACCGTATTTTGGAAGTATTAACTGCCAGTGCACAAGTAAGAGACAATCCAAAAATAAAGTAATCGAAAATTAAAATAACACTATTGGGCTTTTCATTTAAAACATGCTGCAGAGATCTGAGGTATTGCTAGAACATCCTCACTTATACAAAAGCCTCGGACTATTCAAGACTCTTCAAATGCTTATGAGACTCTCGGTTTTGCATTTTATGCAAGGAGATAATATTTTTAATGATTATTTTTCTTGCTCCCAATGATGCGTTTTACAGCTGAAAATG